ACTTTGGGAACAAAGGCTGGATCCATCCTAAACACCACCCTATCTGAAAAAATCTGAAAATAAGGCGCTCTGATAGACAGAGCTTCAAGCTCACTCACCCTTCTCGCCATGGTGATTGCTACCAAAAGTACTGTTTTGAACGTGAGGGCCCTAAGGGAACTGGAAACTAAGGGCTCAAACTGCGGCTCCATTAACACCTTGAGTACTCTCGACAAATCCCACTTTGGAAAAGATCTATTTCCCAGCCGGTCTCTGTCTTGACAGAGCTCTAAAAAACCTAACGACCAATGCCGGCACGTATGGGAGGAGCGGGACGCCTCCCCCGATCTCTCCAGATCTCGCATGAGAACGACCCAGCTCCTGCAACTCTCCGGAGGGGGCCGGCCGACAGGTTAGTGCCGCCTTTCCTCTGTCCCCCAGAGGCTGCAGCAGCGGTCTCTGGGGGATAGCAGCCAGCTCTCCGGCCTTCACCCCACGCTGCCCTGTCTCCAAGCAAACACCCCAGGTACCGCTGTCCCGACAGCACCTGGAGAGGCCTCCAAAAGATGGCTCCCCACCGGAGGAGACACAAAAAACTGAGGTCAGAGGGGAGTGAGTGTTTTTTAGGGTGGAGGTGCTGAGGAGCCAAGGTCTCTCAAGGTGCTGTCCTGAAAGACGAGGGGAAAAAAAAAAAAAAAAAATACATATCTGTAAGCACTGTAAATGTGCTTTTTTTTAAAACTATATTACTGATGTGCAACCCTTGGTAACTAGAAAGTTCACCTAAAGTCCTGTTTACATTTCTATATTGAATATCTTGGATGTTGGAACCCTTTCTCACCCACCCAACATTTTTGGGACCATAGTTCTTTATTTCATTGGATAGAGTTCAGAGGGAGTCAACTTCCTTCCTGGAGTAACCCAATCACAGATGCACATTCTGTTCATGAACAGGGAGTGTTTTTTCAGGTCACCATGGACTCAAATCGGGCATCATGGCTAGATTGGGGGGGAAGCAAGCCACATAATGCCAAAACTTTTGCAAACAGCAGCAATGAGTTTTTCCACATTAAACAAGCATGTTATGTAAACCTCCTGCTTCAATCGTGCAACTTGGGGAGAAACAAATATCTTCTGACACGTCCTCCAATACTGCCTTAGGGCTTGTTCAGACTTGACTTTATTTCTAACTCTTGCCAAATGCCCTATAGCATTTGACAGGAATTTGGGAAGCGTTTTTAACTCTCCTCAAACGCCCTATCAGTGGTTTTGAAGTGGTCGATAGGTGTTTGCCAAGCGTTAAAAACCGCACCACAAACACCTATAATGAAGTTAAATGGCATTAACGCTCCACAACCGCACAGGCGTTTCAGGAGCGGCACCCTAGACTTGAATGGGAGGTTTCAACTCCTGACTCGACACGAGGCGTCAGTTTTGCCGTGACATTAACACTTCAGTGTGAACAGCACTGTGTGCTGCCACGTGCAGAATCTTCATAGGCGTTTGAGAAGCATTAATGCTTCCCAAACGCCTGTCTGATGCCTGCTGACAAAGCTAATGGGAACAGAGCCTTAAAGTGGTACTTAAAAAAAAAAAAAAAAAAAAACACACCCCTACATACTCTGCAAGTAAATGGCATAATCTACTAGGATGCACCACATACTAGCACATTATGTTAGACTTACCTGTACAAATATCTCCTAAACCAGTGCTTGGTACTGAGGCATTCCCCTCCCTCTCCATAGCAGCTGATGTCAAGAGTAAACCTCTGAGGACAATATTTCAGAAGCATGGCAGAACCCATAGAGTGATTGAGCCATGGTGGTTTCATTGTGCATATGGCCAAGTAATTAAAAAAAAGCCAGGGGGAAGTGATCCATACTGACCCATACTTAAGAGGGAGAAGCTCAGATATCCACTATTGGACAGAATATTTAAAAGTAAGCATCTATGTTAGCAAATTAGCTCTGAAGATGAGTGCTAGTCTCTCAAAACACAAACATACCCCAGCAGGTATCTTCAGGAGATAGGGCTCCGGAGGTGGCAGACCACAGCCCTGTACTTATAAAGCACCCTGCAGCTAATTCCACATGCTTCACTATATGCCAAGGGGAGTGCCTATAGTAGGATCCAGTACATCTCAGCAACACTACAGGTCAGTACCACTTCTGTAAAATGGAACAGTCTAGGTATAGTCTCACAAAACGCTGCCGTGTAGTCAACCAATGCAGAAACTGCACTTGCTATGGTCTAACACTTTATGAAAGCATCGAGGTAGAAAAGTAATGGAGAAAATTCTCCATGCGAAAGGTAAGCCATCAGAGAAGTGGTCGATCACCATCAGGATAATAAAAAAAAAAAAAAAAAAAAAAAAAAAAAAAAAGAAGGAGCAGCTAGATGAAGGTGGGAGGGGCTGCACTGAGTTGGATGAAAAACTTTTCTCCAAGACCAGGAAAGAAATACACTGCTCATAAAAAATAAAGGAACATTTTTTAATCAGAGTATAGTATCAACTCAATTAAAAACTCCTGGGATAATGACCAATCAGAAAGACTTCATGAGGGTGGACTGAGGGCCCGATGTCCTCTAGTGGGCCCTGTGCTCACTGCTCGACACCAAAGAGCTCGATTGGCATTTGCCACTGAGCACCAGAATTGGTAGGTCCGCCACTGGTGCCCTCTGCTTTTCACATGTGCTCGGAGTGAACCTGCTCTCATGTGACAGACGTGAAAGTTATGCTGCCTGTAACGCGTTCAACATGACCGTTTTGGTGGTGGGTCAGTGATGGTCTGGGGAGGCATATCCATGGGAGGGACACACAGACCTCTATAGGCTAGACCAGGGGTCACCAAACTATGGCCCTCCAGCTGTTGAAGTACTACAAGTCCCATCATGCCTCTGGGAGTCTTGCAAGGCCTCATGGGACTTGCAGTTCCTCCACACCTGGAGGGCCATAGTTTGGAGACCCCTGGGCTAGACAATGGCACCCAGACTGCCATTAGGTATCGGGATGAAATCCTTGGACCCACTGTCAGCCCCTTCGCTGTTGCAGTGGGTCCCGGATTCTTCCTGGTCCAGGACAATGCCTGGACTCATGTGGAAGAGTATGCAGGCAGTTCCTGGAGGATGAAGGAATTGATACCATTGAATGGTCCCCACGCTCGTCTGAACTAAATCCAATAGAACACCTTTGGGATATCATGTTTCGATCCATCTGACACCACCAGGTTGCACCGCAGACTGTCCAGGAGCTCAGTGATGCCCTGGTCCAGATCTGGGAGGAAATACCCCAGGACACCATCCGTCAACTCATAAAGGAGCATGCCCCGACATTTCCAGGCATGCATACAAGCACGTGGGGGGGCCATTCAAACTACCGAGTACCATTCTGAGTTGCTGCAATGAAATTTCAGCAAAACGGACTAGCCTGCTGCATCATTTTTTCACTCTGATTTTCGGGGTGTCTTTGAATTCAGTCCTCTGTTGGTTGATTGAAATGAAAACGATGGGGCATCCTTACGTTCCTAACACATTACCCAGTCCATATCAGTATATCAGTGTTTAACCCTTTTCCATTCAGGGCACCCTTAAAAAGTATTTTTCAGTCACGAGGCACCCCTGTCAAAGTCTTGGTTCACATCATTGTGTGTCGTGGAACACACGCAAAATCACACTCATTCCTGACACGCAGACAAATGCACTGCTCTTTAGGGGTACCCCCATACATTGGCAAATGCGGGGTGTTTTTGGTGTGGTGCAATTTTAAAACGAAGGTCAGGGACGATTTTCCCTGCATTTCTGCAGGTAAGGTAGCCCATTGAAATGAATGGGCTGCCCTACACAGCCACACAGATGTGAACCAAGGGCCTGTTCACCTGTGAGGTTGGAGGGTAATAAAACCAAGCAATTGAGCTACTTTTACCACCCCCAACTGCTCCCCCTTTAGCTGCAAAAACAGCAGCTGGGGGTGTACACATGCTGTTTCCGCAGATGGAAGTATACCCCCAGGTGAATGGAGTTTAACTACAACCGCATTGCACCCAGTTGTGGTGATTGAAGCTGCTTTTTACGGGGTTAAACCAGGTGGTGAGGAGACAACATTCCCTCTATCACCTGTCAAATGCCTCTGAAAAGCGATCTGCGCATGGATTTCTTTTCAGAGGATCAGCAGTCCTTGTTGCGATTACGAACAAGTCCTAAAAAAGCAGTTCTGATAGGACAGGAATAGGGAGTCTAGATTAAAAGTAAAATACATATACACAAAAACAAACACACGCGCATAAAAACAAACATACACACGCATAAACACAAGCGCACAGCATGAAAAGTTACAGTACCTTAGCTTCCATCACACAGCTGGGTACTGCACTTTAGGGGGAAGCAGAGAGCACAGAAGACACTCCCCTTCCCTTTGCTTTCACTCTGCTGAGTGGTGCGACGTATCCCTGTGCCAATGTACAGTGCGGCTGGGGATCAGGAGCTCGGGCTCAAGTGACAGCCATTCTCCCCACGGCACCACTGAAGACCTCTGGCGGCACCCCGTTTGAGAAAGGCTGGTATAGATATCCAGCATGATATTTTTCTCCATTGAGATCTGATGCGTTTTCAAAGTGTTCCTTAAATTTTTTTGGCGCATTGTACATCACACAACTAGCAGGTGTAAGATAATAGCAGCATGTAATGTACTGATGTTTCATTTGTCACAATATACATACTGATAATTATATGGTTGAAACAGCATGTCTTAAACATACTAATGCACATAAGTAAAAATAAGCAAAGTAAAAACAAGTAATGTTTATTGTATTACAAAAACTTTTGGCAAGATTTCATACTTTCATTTTTCAAAAAGAATTTAGGGTCATAATTGTGTAAATTAATTTTCCAATAGTCTTTTAAATGGGAAAACATATCCTCACATTTTAGGGTAAATATCAAACAAAAACTAAAATCAAGTAATCTGTATCTTAATTCTAAGTAGAACGAAGCCCACATGTAAAGCAGAAGAGATGAATTTCAGGTTAGTATGGTTTGCTGCGCTGGTCACTTCTGAAGTCATTCCTGTCAAGAAGCAGAGAGGAGAAAATTAAAGCAACTTTTTTTTTTTTCTTACACAATAAAAACTGCCACTGCCATTTTTAAAGTACAATTCTCCAGGGCTCCAATCCTTACCACTCTTTATGAATTGGTAAGTCTTAACTTAGTGGGAGAAAAAAAAAAAAATATAGTAAGGCAAGAATACATGCCACAGACTGCATTTTGAAAGTAACAAAAAAAAAAAATGACAGGTGCCACTCAAGGCTCCACCAGGTACCCTTGCATGACGAACCACTAGGAGTGCTGACAAGGACAGAGCTCGTCAATTGCGTGGTCATGCATACAAATGAAATTTATAACTTTTTATCCACACAAATAGAGCTTTCGTTTGGTGGTATTTGATCACCACTGATTATATAAAATAAAAAAATGAACATTTTGAAAAGAAAAAAAAAAAAAACCACACCACACCCAAACAGAAAACAAATCCCAATAAAATGTATTTTTAGTCTGTAGGAAAGTTATAGCGTCCAGAACCTATGGAATATATTTGAAGATTGATCAGTCCTGATGTACCGACAGCCGATCTCATTTGAGGAACTTAAAATGCAAGGACAATACAAACACCGCCCAAAAATTACCTCTTTTTGGAAAGCAGACAGACTGGGGTATTTAGAAAAAAGGCATGGCAAGTTATTTGAAATTGTAATTTGTTACAATATCTTGGAAAAATTAAGAAAATAAAATTTGTGTTTTATTTCACCAGTACAGTGTCATGATATGATTGGGTGTGGTGGTGCTCAGGGAGACAGACTGGTGACAGCATGTTTAAAATACTGAATTAAAAAAAAAAAAAAAAAAAAATACTTTCATTGGAGTAGTTCAATGTTACCATAGTAACTCTGTACTATGGGGTGGATATTAGGGATTTTTCTCTTTTTTTTACTCTTTGATTGCTGGTACAATGAAGATCACTGTACAAGCCCCAGCAATGCTTTGAACTGACATGAATGGGTTAAATTCATGACAGCTGCGAATACTACTGATCTGTACCGGGTGCTGTGATTGGCCCAGGTACTATGTGATAGATGTGGACCAATCACAGCTCACTAGTAAAAGAAGCAAAGCGGTTCTGAATCTCATTGATTGATAACAGCTTTATTGACATTGTGATCAATGCCCACGCACCTTTATTGCTAACATCTTAGTGTGCATTGTGTAAGACAGCCATGTATTTGAATAGGCTGTGGTATACACGAACATATGCTAAACAAACCACAATGGTGTTGGGACCTTATCTCTTTTTTGGCCACACTGTTCAACTCACCTGCCTCCAATTTTTCCTCCGAAGCCGCCTCGGTCACCACCTCTTCCACGACCTCTGAATCCTCCTCTATCACCCCCATAGCCGCCTCTACCTCGATCTGTATGAAAGAAAGTGTTACACATCAGACAAGCGCATAGATCAGATTTTTAAAACAACGTAGCAGCTGTGCCGAGTAAACCAGAGGGTGTCACAGGTAACGAAGTGGGCTAAGCAGCAGACACGTGGAGCAAATTCCCCAGCCATGCCATTTTGTCTGCTCAGGCAACAGATAAAAAAGGTAGCACATTCATATAAAAAGGCAAAACTTATTTTGAATTTGACATAGTTGTAGCTGCAGTGTGTATTTAACGCAAGTGTCATGGAGGCACTTTCTACTATAATTAAGAAAAAAGTAAGTTTTGTAACACAGTTTTATGAAAAGAAACGAGTGTGATTACCAACCTCCTCCACCCTGTCTGGAGTCTTCTGGCCTTGGTGCACTGCACTGGTTACAGGAATCTCTTCTGGCAAAATTAACATTCCCACACGAGCTGTAAATATGTCAAAACAGGTTTTAATATTTAGAAAGAAAAAATAAATCTATATAAAATATTTTCTTAAAGGGGCTGCTTACGAATTAGGACAAACCCAGTCACCACCTTGAGGTGCACCACTGCCGCCTCTGAAAGAGCCACGGCCCCCACCAAAGCCACCACCTCTATGACCTAGAAAGAAAAGCAAATTTACAGCATTATTTTAATACCAAGGAAACATGCAGAAAAGTGTCAATTAACAAAAAGAAACCAAATAGTGTATAAAAAAAAAAAAAAAAAAAAAAAAAAAAAAAAAAAGTAAAAAACTTGGCCTTAAAAAAGAGAGGAGCAGAACACCCCTCCCCCCCATTACACTTCGAACAGAGAAGAAAATGTTTTAATCACTTCCTGCCCATAGGACATACCCATACCTATTTTCTCTAGGGCCTCTGCTTAAAACTATATATTTTCTAGAAACAAAATATTTACATATGATGGAAATGCCAGAATTAGCCTGGGGGTCAAGTAGTTAATATCTGCCCCTTATAAAGACCACTCAGCTAAATTTATAAGGATACAGTATTTGATTAGGTCTTTGTAAACCAATTTTTAACCACTGATTAATGTATCACTGCAACTTGATCTCAGCAACAGATCTGCCTATACACAGCTTAATACTTACCACCACCACGTCTACTACTACCACCACCACCACCACCGCTGCCGCCACTGCCACCTCCTCTCATAAATTCAGGCCTTCGAGTAGCAAAGGAGACTTTAATATTATTTCCCATAAAGTCTTTTCCTGCATTGCAAACAGAACAAACATGTTAAGCATGTCAACACTGGCATTTCAATGACATCAATTCAGCTGCTATGCACTAATTAACAGTAAACAAAAAATAAAGGCTCAATTCCAGGCACAAGTAAAAACAAAAAAAAACAGACAAAAAAAAACAAAAAAACACCCTACCTTTGCAGTTGGAAAGAAAAAAAAAAAATTAAAAAAAAAATAAAGTGGGCCCACTACAAAAAGGTAGTTTTTTTTCTTCTTGTACCTGGGGTTAGGCTTTATTTTTTGTTTACTGGTATTCGTACATATCAGCTGAATGTTTCACAACAGGCATCTTTCTTACAATCAAACCATCTATAATAAAATATTGCTGCCTCTCCTTTGGATCAACATCCCAAAATTTGTCTCCCTGTGTAGGGATGCCTTGTGATAGCATGCAAGTGCACCAGTTTTCTTATGCTTTATGCAGTTACTACTTTAGGTTTGTGTAAAATGATATTTAGGGATATAAATCCTAATGTATGTTTTTATATAGTTAGGTCATACTCCTGTAAATCCTAATTGAAGGTCCTGAGGAAGCAGAGATGCGAAACACGGTAACCTCTTTGGATTACTGGAACTGAGTGTTCTGTACTGAAAAAATGATCTATAAAAATTGAGTGATGGCCTTAGATTGTTTAAATACTGTTAGTCTGGGTCTTCTATGAAAATTTAATAAAACATTGATTTTATTGAGACAAGTGGTGTGTCTGGTACCAGTAAAGTTCGACATTTACTTTTTGATCCTTACCATCAAACCAATCGATAGCTGCTTTAGCAGAAGGAGGATCATCAAAAGATACAGTAGCTTCACCTTTAGATTTGCCAGTTTCTTTGTCAGTGTAAAGATTTATCATCGGCTTTCCAGTCTTCTTGTTCATCTGCAAATATGATTTTCATATGTAAAGTATATTCTTTAATAAAAACAGAAATATAACAAAATAATGCCTTTTACAATGAGACAGACTAACATATGTAAACAAAAGCTTTGCCATGTGGAAATGAATGGCTTGATCTCCTTATGACCCTCAAGACCTCCAGCTGTGATTGCACTTATCTAGGTTCTTCAGAAGCAGCCATGGTGATTGGATGTATATGGGAAGTCCTGCTACAGGTTCTACATTTGTCTAATGTTAAAGAGAAAACGTGAAAACAAGAATTCCGATCTCTACTAATGGTTATTCGACAAACTAACTGTACTGAAGTTGGAGAGTTAATCCACTGATTACACTGGAAAGGTGTAGGATCAAGGACTATAGTTTTGATTCTGGCTTTAATATAGGGATCTCTGGCCTGGAGTAAATTGCAGCAAGTCTGAATTCCCTCCCTGCACTTTAGAAGTGTTACTATTGTGATCTGCTTTTATTCTCAGATTCCCTTGGAGAGCACAAAATGTAGACATGAACAGAATTCTGGAAGGAAAAAAAAACTTTTACCTTTATTATTCCTATTTGTTTGAAGAACTCAGCCACCTGATCTTGTGAGACATCCTCTCCAAGACCTTGCACAAATATTGTGTTATTGTCAGAATTGTCTTCATCTCCTGGGAGGTAGTGGTAAAACAAAAAAAAACAAAAAAACAAAAACAAAAAAAAAAGTGCTGTAAGAAGTGTTCTAAACACCATATGCAAACGAGGATAATATAGATATCTATAGGCACCTCAAAGGATACAAAAACTTACCTTATGCAATCTACACTTCCAGTTCTATAAACACCATTTCCCATAGCCATGTTCTACACTATTGCCACCCACCTGAATAAGTAATTTTGCAAAGAACTACCCTCTTAACGTCATTTGTATATACATAGTCACCTGTCCTACCTAAAGAATGCCCAGGCCTGGAGATAGGCAAGTGTACTGCATTGTGTAATATGGGCTGGAGCATGCATTTTTGCCATAATTAGAGATGGGAAAGTCTAATACAATCCTCTAGGCGGTGCTAAAAAGAGAGCATGTGCTAACAAAAACCATATGTGCCTGGTTATTGACATAAGTGGAATATGCATACTGTGACTCACCCCCCCCCCCCCCCTAATACCTGGTGATCTTGTCAGTTCCCTTAGGTTCAGGTTTCAAACTGACAGCACCAAGTGTGAAAGCAGATGCATGCTGGAATGGTCAGCTTGCCTGTATTTCTGTAGTCCGTTTATGCCATGCGCCCCTAGATACTAGATGCTATGAAATTCCCTGCATCTCCAATTGTCACTACTCATCACTGCCATGCCCCTCCAAGCTCTACTGTGTTGAATGATCAAGGCTCCCAGCAGGAATCTGTCAAAAGTGCAGAATTACCTGCCTACTTACATGCCCCCTTAATGGGCAGTCAGGAAGTAGTTGAAAGCCACACAAGAATAGACGTTTCCCTGTAATCTGCTTTCAGTTTTTCCAACAATGCACAATATGAAGCAGTGTTTGTAACCTGATGTACCTTATGCTATGCAAGCTTGAGAACTGTTACACATAGGAAGGAAGCTTCCACTGTGGAGGGCCACTAACCACCCCCATCTTTGCTTCCCATCCTCAGGCATGGACTCAAGTTTGTTGCCATGTGGGAGGTTGAGGGAAACCGCAGAACCTGAGGAAAGGAGCTGGCTAGCAGGAGCATTAGAGATGGGGGGAGGGATGCAGGTTGCCCAGCATACTGATTGAGGTGTCTCAGGTGCACTGTGGAGATAGGGGACTGCATTGCACAGCTGGAAAATGTACTTCCTGTTGTGAGACAGGCTGTCCACCCACTTCCTAAATCAGACATGCTCTCACCATTAGGAAGAGGGATTCCAAGGAAGGCAGTACAGTCACAAAACCGTAGAACCAAACCTCACAAAAAAATAAATAAAAAAGCTAAAATGTGATTATGGTTAAAGCAGATCTTCACCCTCCATGTCAAGCTTCCCCCTCTCTATATAAAACATTTTAGAAACTGCCATATTCGTGTAAACATTGTGGCCCCAGGAGGCTTTTAGTCTCTTTCAGCAAGTAGGAGGGGGTGGGCCTAATGGCACGTCATCGTGAGGCCCTGTCAGCTGAAAACAGAAGAGCCAGGGTGCCTCTCGATGACATCACAAGACCAAGCACTGTATTGACAGGATGAGGGGCTAGGCTGAAGGTCCTCAAATATTTCCTGTATTCAAATATGATTGTTGCAACAGGTTTACTTTCTCAAAAGGTATGACCTGACCACCTGCTTTAAGCCAACACCTGCAGCTCTAGATTCACACCTGTGATAACTGCATGTTTTGTTTTACCTATACTCCCCCTTACCTTGGTCAGGTTTGCTCCCATAATCCCTGGGGCCTGCAATGAAAAGAAAGAATATGGAACACTAAGTGAAAGCAGTAATACCACTATATTGTAATTAAACATTCTACATGAACTAAACACTTTACTAGCAAAAATGAAAGTAAGCATCCTGTTCATCTAACAGAGGCTGCTACTGACTACCTCTTTCTGAAAAAATATACTATTCTAGCTACCGTTAATATGTGTAATCATTCCAGATTGCTTAAAAAAGGTATTGAAGCCAGCAGGTCAAGAAAACCTCAGCTCACAACATCCCATAATAGCAAGTTTCAGGACAATGATAGTAAAGAAAAAAAAAGAAAAAAAAAAAAAAAGTCAGTGTGGCTGCCAGACAAATTAGCATTTTAAAAAGAGGAAAGGTCAAAAATGGGAGCCGTTTCTTTTACATGGTTTTCTCCCAGAAAGGATTTCGACCTTTACAGTGGAGGCTTCCCAGCCCTTAGCGATTCTCTGTGTATTAAATGAAATAAACAAAAATGCCCACATTTCTACAGCCCCCCAACCCACCCACCTACCACTACTCCTTGTTCAAGTCTTCAGTACAAAGAGGCCCTATCACCAAGAAATCGTATGTATATGCAAAGAAAGTATGTTAAAGCTGAATTCCAAGTCTAGGGGTACTTGCAATGTGACTTGCAAGTTGGACTACTCCAGAAGAGTCAATTTCCTAAAATGGCACCTCTCCTTGCACATCATAGCCCTCTGACCCTCCCAACATAACACTATGTAACGGTCCAAGGTGGAGTGAAGGGAAATACTATGGCGTCGCTTGAGTGCCAGCTCTGAGTGTGCCAACATCAAAACCACGAAGGCTGCATCCAGCAGTCTCAAGGCTTTTGGATGTGTACATCATTCAGGCTTTTACAGGTATAATTTTATGTAAAATTATGATCTAGTGAAAGTTTCTAAACAATTCCTCATATATGTAAAAAATTCACTAAATAACCAAGCAGCATTATAAACAAAAAACTTCAGCCTTTCCTATTGCTGCTCTTTTTTTTTTTTCTACATTCACATTGTGAGGTTTTTAAAATGTTTACCAATTTAAGTAAATTACAAATGTTACATTTTAAGGAGTTGTTCAAACTAAAGCCTTGCAAGGGAAGGTGCTTTGCCACAATATTTAGCATTTCTATGAACACGGTCATTTAATCATTTCGATTTTCTTTTCGAGTAACTTTAAATCAATTCAGGAATGACGACAGGTGCCATGGACAAATAGGATTTCACATTTTCAGTTGTATATCCTGCAAATTGTCTTCCACTGCTACAAAAAGTCACCAGCTAAAAAGCAGATATGAAAAAATGGTTAAAAACAAAAAATAGACAGTACGGATCCCACCGACTTTCACTTTCTGCATCTGTCATATGCTTGGTCAACAAGTTGGCTGTCCGATAAAGTACATCGGTAGCAGAACCTCTTGTCCACTGCAAAAATGTGCTGAACATGCTGAAAAGTTTTAGGCAAGTTTCTACAAGATTTTTTTTAAGCTGAGGGTTTCACAGGCATCTATTCCAAACTCTGGGCTGCTGTACCAGAACAATTTTTTTGGGAAAAGATAGAGAGTATTAGAACAAAAGTATTAAAGGAGCCCAACGTCTAGATGGGTAATAATACATGTGCATATATTACAGTTAAGGCCAACATAAGCAGCAATGTTTCTCAGTTTTAGTTAATTCTTTTTATAGGGGAGGGGATAAATATTACAGGATACAAAAGGACTTTATTTTCCAGGCTACTTGTGTTATGCTGCCACCTTCAGGAGAGAAAAAAAAAAAGCACAGGCGTACATCCCACCAAACACAACCCCTTCCTAAGCCTCAGTTTTGAAGCAATCAATGAGAAACAGGCAGGTGGGGAGGAATTATTGGACACATAACTTCGTATTCATAACTACTTCGGAAGTACCAAAACACTGAACATGGCAGGTGGGAAAAACAGCAACAAGCCCAAACAGAACAGGGCATGGTGGAATTCCACTTCCAAAAGACATCTTCACCCAAAACTGGCAGCCAAAAGGAGGTGTAAACATCTGCCTGCTAAAACTTCATAAAAACGTGTGAAGATCAGGTAGCCATTACATTTGAATAGATGCTGAATAGCACAGAAGCACTGACAGTCCCGGTGTAACTGAAACAAGGAACCATATTGTCGAAACAAAGCTATAGATTTAGGATGCTTAGTCCTCATGCACACTGGACATTTTTACAGCTGCGGTTATTGGCTTTTGACATTTTTTTTCTACAGCCAGTAAACTCCCCAGCATGTTATCCTACGTGCCCATGCACACAGACTGTAATCAACGTTTTTTGGCAGGGACATTTTTTGGCTTGAAGCAGATCACAACAGGGTTTCAACAAGGAATGAGACGCAATAGGTCTATGAAGCAGGTCAAGCTGAAGACATCTGCACACCAGACTTGAGAAAAGCTTATTTCGCCCCAGGATGAAGGGGGCATAGATCAAGTAAACCAGACCTCAAAAGGAGGTACACAAGGGCATCTACCACAAACGCCTGAGGATCCCTGGTTTGAGACAAACCTGTCTAGTTTGTTGTTGAATCTGGATGCCAAGAGAATCACATCTGGCACCCCCATCAGACATCTCTGAACTCCTCTGGGTGAAAAGGCCCATTCTTCTAGATTGAGCTGCTGGCAGCTGAAAATTTGCCTGCCTGCCAATTTTCCCACACTGGAAATGTGCATGGCGAAGAAAGCTGAAATGTTAAGTTCTATCCAAGACAAGATCAGATCCACTTGTCCCTCTGATGGGAGATGTATGCCACAGCTGGAAGAGCCAGCAGAATTGCCCAAAGTTCCAGGATATCAATCGAACACGTGTTTAATGACCATGTACCCTGAACCAATAGATTCTCCAGAATGCCTCCCTGCCATCAGGCATCAGTCATCCTAACCATAAGGATTTCTCAGTATCCAGCATCGTGGGTATCCACCAGTTAAGCTTTGGGAGTTCGATGCAATGACAGAGCCAAGGTCCTCTGACATTTGTTCCATACCAACAAGATATTGATATCAAGAGCTGTGGAGTGAAACTGGGCATAAAGAGACCACATCGAAGGCAGCCATCATCCTCACCTGCAAGGAGCATCTTCACCTGTGCCTTGTTGAGGACTAAGCCCAAGGTCTGCACAGCATGTCGCTACCCCATCTGAAGGTTCAGCATTCAAACAAACCTTTCCAGGACCTGTACCATCTGATAATTGATTGAGGTCAGCTTCTGATATGATTGCTCCCTGAGAATGTTGTCATCAAGGTGCCCCACCATATTCTGAGTGCTTAATACTGGTATTGAAGCAAATACCTTTGTAAAACTCTTGGGGCTGTGGACAGGCTGCAAGGCAACACCACAAACTGACCCTGGCAATCCTCAACTGCCAAAAACAAAAAAGAGTGAGGAATTTGTTGAGACTCTTAATAACCACGGCATCTGTTTGGTTTGTGAATACACAGGTTGAAATAGAAGCTGCAAGACCTCTGCCGCTCAGCTGCAAGCACAATGACCCCCTGGGACAGCAGGCTTTTCAAAGCCGCAAAGAAAAGCAGCAAAACTCCAGTTTGTAAATTCTGGACACCATGCTTCAAATCCAGTCTTTCTTCCTGAGTCAAGGCAGCTGCAAAGGCCAATAGACATCCCTCGCCTGTGTAAGAGAGAGTCACCTGCACTGTAAGGAGGAATTGCCTCTGCATCCAGATGACCATTGTGTCCAGTTCCTCTTATGGATCTGGGACATAAGGCTTTTGCTTACAGCTTAAAAACTGATGCTTGCAAAAGAACTGTTCTTGGCTGTCTCTGTCCAGAAGTGACTTCAGAATCCAAAGATGATCCAAACAAGCAGTCACCCTCAAAAAGGCAGTCCCTTGATTTGCTTCTGGCAGAGAAGTTCCGCCTACCAACACTTGAGCCAAACTATCTGTCCCACGAGGACAGACAAGTTCACACCTGTGGAAGCTGCTGTGTGGAATCTTCTAAGGCATAATCCAAAAAAAAAAAACAAAAAAAAAAAAACTTAAGGCTCTCTGAAAATGTTCCAAGAAAGTTTGGCCAGAGCTTTGGCCAAACTTTAAAGCCATAGCAAATTCCCACTGCAGGCTTCGGAGGATGCATCAGAAAAAAGATTTGATTGTTTGGAGACTGCAAAAACCCTGTAACTTTTCATAGGAGGAGGAATCCAGAAGTGATTATTTAAAGTTTGGGCACATCCACTAGAAAACCCACTGTGGTCCTCTATGCTTGCAACAGCCCTAGACCCAGAGATTGCCCCTGTTGAGGACTTCCCTACAGAGGATTCCCAGTCTTCGATAGCTTCAGCTTTCGGAACATGGCAACAGTCCTGGATGAAGCCCTCCATTGCCCCATTAGAACAGGGCAAGGCATTGGACAAACAAGCGATCTCCAAACCTAGGTGTTGTAGCCATCACAATTGTTAAAAATCAAGGCACAGCCGAGCTGGCATTATGACTGGGTGGAGAGTCCTGCCTTTTTTGACCAATGTCCATTCACCCTAAGGTGGCAGCATACCCAAGTAGTCATAAACATGAAGTCCTCTATTCTCTGATGCACAGATTTGCTTAATTTTTATGCAGTGTGTTGCAATGCACTACACTACGTCATGGTGCAGTGCAGAAGGATGAACAAAATGTCTAACATTTAAGAGAAAAAAAAAAAAAAAAAAACACTTTGATGCATCATTACAACATATCAGCACTGCTCCCCCTTTACAGCACAAACCAGCGGCTACATTATGTGACTGCTGCTAAAGAGCTCTATTGCCATACGAACCATGGAAAAGCCAAAAGAAAAATATATAAGCAATAAGTAAGGAAAAGAAATGTGAGCTGGTTAAAAAAAAAAAAAAAAAAAAAAAAAAAAAATTGGACTTTGCGTTTCCAGGTAGTGCGCACGCACCCTACCCACGCTGCCATTCGTGGCCGTCAATCACCAGTCGGTGATTGCCGAGTATCTCTGATGGGGAAGAGAACTGTATGTAAAAAATACAGTTCTCCCTGTTAGCTCATGCACACTGCTTTGGATGGCTGTGCACAGCACAGCCATCCAAAGCAGTGTGATTACAGTGACGCACATGAACACAGACACGTAAAACAGCACATGTTAACCCCTTCCTGCTCAGTGCCATTAGTACAGTATCAGTGCTTTTTATTAGCACTGATCACTGTATTGGTGTCAATGTGACACCAGGTCAGTTCTCCCCAATGTCCGAATGCCCGCCGAAGTCCAGCTATAAGTCACTGATTGCTGCCATTACTAATGGAAAAAAAAAAATTTCTAGTATCTATACTATTTGTAAACGCTATAACTTTCACGTAAAACCAATTTACACGTATTGGGATTTTTTTAAGCAAAGACATGTAGCAGAATACATTTTGACCTAAATTTATGATGAAATTGGTTTTGCTTTTTTATATAGCGCAAAAAAAACAAAAACAAAAAAAAAAACCGCACAGGCGATCAATCACCACTGAAAGCAAGCTCATCGATTCGTGGGGAGATCTTCAGGAGGGCAAGTGGTTAAAGCATGGGTACCGTTTTTTTCTCCCCCTCATGTTTACAAACAAACAAAAAACAAACACAAGGTATGCTTAAGAGCAAGTGTTCACCTTGACCAATAACCAGTGCGGACATGCACATTAAGGGCTACACTGATGCAGATAAAAAAAAAAAAAAAAAACAAAAAAAAAAAAAACCACACAACCATGGAACTTGTTCTGTGCCATGGCTAGACAAATTGCAGGCAGCCAACATATCCCAGAAAGTTGCAGATGTTCATATTTTGGCTTTGCCATTAATTTAAAAAACCCATACGCTAACAGGTGCATGCTGATAACTTACTAAAAGATTGTTGCTTATACTGAAATATCTGGATGCCAAGATACTCTTAAAAGTATTTAGTCCTGTGCAGCACAAGGCTTAGCCAACAAAATACATATACAAGTGATGGTATGTTAAAGCAGCTTAAAAGTGATACTAACAGGTTTTCTGTTCTGCACTCAAGTGAATGTGTGCTTTGCCCACACAGGGCAAAGCAATTGGTTACCTTAAAGCCCAACCCCAAGCAAATAAATTATCCCTGGGCTGTGCCCACACTGCAAGGGACAAACCACCACCGGGAGAGCAGAGGATCAAGGAGGGAACAAAAAAAAAAAAAAAAAACCCAACCCACCAACCTGGACAAAACCAGCAATTAACCCTTGCAGTGTAGGCACAGCCCCACTGCAAGGGTTTTTTTTTTGTCTATTGTTGGGCTTTAGGCTTAGCTCTCCATAGAAGCATATAAATACCTTCCCTTTTACTACCTCTCTGTTCAGTTCTGCCACAAAGTGGAGGGGGAAATAAAAAAAAAAAAAAAAAAAAAAAAAAAAAGTTTGAGTAAACTAAAATTTGCAGCTTTCATAGGACTATCACTCACCCTTATGACAGCACTGGGCCATGGAGCGAGTCACATACTAGCTACTACATAACTGGTAGTACTGGGTTGGCTCCTGGCACTGAACAGAGTGGTGAAGAGCAAAAGAAAAAGCAAGTATATAATGGACAAAGCACAGGTTTGAGTACACTTGTCCATTAACAGACCCACACTGGAGCAAGAAAAGGAGTGAAGAAAAATTGTATACAGTCAAGCAATTTTAAAAAGCAATCCAAAAATCTTCTATGGGGTTATTTGGACAAATAAAAATGTATTAGTAGAAAAGGAAAAAAAAAAAAAAAAACAAAAAACCCACCACTTGCTAAATTAAACTCAAGGCTCCATTCACACTAGGTTTTTTCCAAATCGATTTTGTGCAATCGTGGCTTGTTTGCTGCAGGGAAAAACGCACTGCGATTGTGGCAAACACGCCCTGCCTTTTCAGGTGCCATGGAAATGAAGGGCACCTGAAAAACCGGGATTGTGAGGTTTTACACTTTTACAGCACGTATTCGAACTGCGGCAATTCTGCCTGCGAATTAAAAAACCCTAGTGTAAATGGAGCCTGAAAGGCTTACCCAGAAGTGGCAACAGTGCTTTAAAGTGTTGCAAAACTGCCAGATCTCTTTGCAGGCAGAGCCACTAATGGGCCCTGGATGCAAGCAGATCTTGCCAACCCTGCAATTTGGCAATGTGTCCACACAAAAGCAACACTATTTCTGTGGCTAGGCATTAAACAAGTAATTCTGGAGAGAGTTGAGAAAAAGCACAGAAGTCATCTTTCAAAAAAGGGACATCCTCATTTCTGCAAATGCAAAGAATATAACAGTAGGTAAAAAAAGTGTTATAAAATATAAAGAAAAAATAAAAAAAGGGTTGCAAACACCCCCTTCCCCAAACTGCATAGTCTTTATAAAAGGAATTTATGGAAATTATTTTAGTTCATTCTGGCATGGTTGTGTGCTACAGAAGCTCCAGATCTGTTTCAGCAAGTGGGAAGGGTGGGTAGCTCCAACAATGGACAGGCAATAGGAGCTGGAAGGTGACATCACAGCTCGGAGTGCATGAACAGATTTCAGATTTTCCAGACACAGTGGAGCTGCTGCTTCTCAATTACATGACTGCAGTGGAGCTGGGAATAAAACCCCATCCACAAATTTTTTATAAAGGCTATGCAATACAAGTAGGAGAAGGGGAGAGGCAACATTTTTAACATGTCTAGATCACCTTTAATTCCACTTTAACACTAAGCACCTTTTACCCAAAAGGGACCTTTACCAGTCCTTTTATTAGATGAAGTTTAGAATTGTTCCTATGGTTTTTATGTTTTCATTATTCTTACCCTGAAAGTAGTTAAACATCGATACTGGCACCTTCAGACGTATATCTTTTTGCAAGAGTATAGCAGAACATGTTTTTACTGGCCTGTAATAAGCTGAGGAGTCCTGTTCAATGCAACAGGATTTCCATGGAAACAGTCTATGTTCAAGGCACTTACCACCAAAATTTTTGAAGCCACCTCGGTCACCACCGCTGTGGAGGAAAAAGCGGAGACATGATTTTATGCCCCCCTTTACCACTTAGGGCAACTGAATGAAGAAAAACCCAGTTAAGTGTTAAGACTAGTGCAGCTCCCATGTTACATTCATTGTACAAGAACAAGATATTACCCCCCTCCCCCAAACCACCACCCCCTGTAAAGTCAGCACACATCTATGGCTACTACAATTATTGATTGTTAATTAAACTGCCAATATCTTATACAATGTTCAAATTATTTTCAGCTGAGGAAATTGAAATATTTGTACTATAAATCTATTCACATACCAGCTTATGTCCTGAAGATTCCAGTGAAGAGTTTGCCATGCAGTTTGTGTATACATCCTCTTCTGTAAGGTTATAATGTAGGCATTGCTCATACAGCTGAACCTAATATTGGATTCTAATAAAGAACACCCTGCAGTGTAACATGACTGGCTTTGAGGTGGTCACAGTACACTGTTAGAACTGGGAATTCTGGGAGGAGAGATCTTCAAGTATTCAAGAGGCAAGTCAACATGTGATTCAATTTATCCATGAAAATCTTTTATTTCCCCTTTTGTTTTTTAAAGCACTCTGCAAAGGGTTAATACTTGCCTCGGCCACACTGTTGATTTTCACTGTCTTGACAAGATATGCTGACTGAAAATGTTGGTATTTAACACTTTGTAATACCTTGTTCTTTCCATATGGCCTACATCATTACTGGACACTCTAGTGATGCAGACATCAAAAAACACTTCACTCCTGCTGAAATGTCTATGCCTACTGCAATGGTCAGCTTGTCATTGGGGTAGTAATGTACTGGCCATCTGATAGGATGAGTATGCAGCAGGGGACCAGGCAGCTTACACCCAGAAGGGCGTTGGAGGATCAAGATTTTTCACTCAGCATAGTGCTTGAAGACAGTGTGGAGTGGAGACTGCAAATTAAAATGGTACCAATCCCTTTTGCAGAGAGTGCCTTAAAAGTTTTTAGGACTCCAAGAACTTGGAATTATTTAATCTCTACTTTTAAAATGTAGTGGTCCCAGCTTTTAGCACACTCTGACAGGGGTGGGGGGGGGACAACAAGAGAAAAAAAAAAAAAAAACCACCATGCACACTCCTTAAGCTCCACTCCAAGTGTTACTACACTTTAACTGTAGTGTTGCCTGTCGGTAAAACAAGATTTTAGCAAGATTCAGCAAGCTGCAAGGAAAGCTAGACAAATAGGTAGGCAGTCAATACTGACCTCTCCTGGTTACCATGGTAATTCTGCTTTTCATCAAATAACTGACCAGGAACAAGTACATAGCTTATGTTTTCTAACCTCACTTCTTACATGCTTCTTTTAAGTCAGTGTATTTCTAAATTTCAAGAAAAAAGCCAGAAAACTATTTGAGGATGGTAAACAAGAGCAGCCTACCCATTTATGTTGGTTCTAATTTTGCTTAAAGCTTGCTAAAAGCTAGCTTAAGGTTTTAGCAAAGTCAGTATTTGTACCTGCACTACAGGTAAGCCTATAATAAAGGTTTACTTGTAGGTACTGTAAATATCACCTTAACATGCACCATTTAGGAGATATTTACCTGTGTAAAAAACCGACATGCGCTCTGAAGGAACGGCATGCCCCTGCTGGTCCTTCAGAGCTGCGTGCTGTTAGCAAGTGACTCCCGCACAGTGCGGGAGTGGCGTCATCACCGCTCGGCCATTCAAGTCGCTGGAGCCCAAGAACCTGGAAGGAGGACCGAGTAAACATGGGAGCCCTGTCAGCGCACCGCTGGAGGGCTTCATTTTAAGGCAAAAAACACACACACCCTCCAAGGGCCTATGTTGACAGGCTTTTACTACATTCAAACTGGTTTTGCATTCCCATAGGAATGCAAAACTTGCTTAAAGCAGGTCAGGTCACCAATTTTGAATAAATCTCAGAAGCGCCTCAAACTTACAGTTGTGCTCAAAATAGCAGTGTGTTTAAAAAAAGGGAGTAAAGCTCAAAATACTTATAAACAGCTTAATTCCAAACATGCAAATGCATTGGGAACACTGCACAGTCTATTCCAATTAAAAAAAAAAAAAAACCCCACACAAGAAGAAAAATGTTTCAAGTTTATTACTTTACAAAAAGTGGAAAAAAAGGAATATTAGGCTGTTTAAAAAAATAGCAGTGTCTGCATTTTTCTTGACAAACTCAAAGCATTTACTGTAAAAACTGAAAAATGCTGGAAGATTTTGTTTTTCTGTGAATCACTAAATATTTAGTTGTAGAACCACCATTTGAGAACTGCTGTACATCTGTGTTGCATGGAGTCAACCAACTTCTGGCACCTGTAAACAGGTATTCCAGCCCAGGATGATTGGACTACATTCCACAGTTCTTCTCTATTTCTTGGTTTTACCACAGAAACAGTATTTTTGAGGTCACCCAAGTTTTCGATTGTATTAAAAAGGTCCGGGATTGGGCTGGCCACTCCATAACATTAATCTTGTTGGTCTGGAACCAAGATGCTGCTTGCTTATTGGTGTATTGGGGGGGGCCGATGTCTTGTTGGAACACCCTTTTGAAAGGGCATTTCCTTGTCGGCATAGGGCAACATGACTTCAAGTATTTTGGAGGCATTCAAACTGATCCATGATCCCTGGTATACGATAAAGAGGCCCAACAACATAGTATCAGAAACATCCCCATATGATGCTTGTGCCACCATGCTTCACTGTCTTTAGTGTACTGTGGCTTGAATTCAGTGTTGGGGGGGGGGGTCATCTGAACCTGCAATCCCTACACCCAAAAACAACAAATTTGTTTTCATCAGTCCCCAAAATGTTGCACCATTCTCTTTAGGCCAGTCCATATGTTCTTTGGCAAATTGTAACCTGTTTAGCACGTCATTTTTTTCGACAATGGTACTTTGCGGGGGCTTCTTGCAGATAGCTTGGCTTCACATAGGCATCTTCTAATTGTTAGAGAACTCACAGGTAACTTTAGACCTTCTTTCATCATCCTGAAGTGGATCATTGGCCAAGTCTGCCATTTTGGCTATTTTTCCATCCTTTCGAATGGTAGTTTTCAGTTTTCTTCCATGCCTTTCTGGTTTTGGTTGCCATTTGAGATCATTTTAGCTGAGCAGCCTATCAGTTTCTGCACTGTTTTCCCTTCTCCAATCAACTTTTTAATCATTGTACTCTGTTCTTCTGAACAGTGATTGGAACGACCCATTTTAGAGAGAAATGCACTATACCCAGCATGTACAACATTTGCTGCCTTCGTCCTTAAATAAGGACCACCTGTTTTTTCACAGACTGAATGACCTCTCCAATTGAACGCCACACTGCTAATATTTTGAATGCACCCCTTTCAATTAAGGATTCAATCACACAGAATCAGCAGCATGCTTGTCACGACTATTGGTTTTCTCTTAGTCTACTACACCTTCTAGTAGGCTATTTGCCATGTAAAAGTATAATTTGTACCAAAAACACTGATTGATCCTGTTTGTGATGTTGGACCGCTATTATTTTGAATACAACTGTATGTCATTGACAAGGCCAAAGCCCATCAACACAGGCCTTTATATACACACACACGACAATTTTGGTAATTATGTTTAAAAAAAACTGAAGCAAGAATGAGTTGCTTTCAGTTATCAATGAGGTTTGTTTTATATCATCCTCCTGAAGAATTAAGGAATATTGTATCTTTTATTGGTAACTTCACTACTTTTGTTTAAGATTCTTTTGTCAATTTTCCTTAAACAGTCTGAATTATTGCTAGCCGAGTGTTAAAGACTACAGATATTTCAACACCTCCTGTCCAGTGGATGACATGCAGTGTGGCCAAATACAGACTCACACTTGTAGAGCTCTTGCACATGGCCTCATTAGTGGGGTACAACAAACAATTTTTTTCAGCGCCAGGGAAGCTCTGCTGCTTACAGCTGCCTCAGACATTAATGGTGGTGAATAGCTGGAAGTGGACATACGTTGGTACTCATGTACCGCACACTGTATGGATACATTACCTGAACACATTTGTGTGCTTGGGGGATACAGCCACACATTATACAAGGGTTTTGAGGAACACCCACATCCATGTATGCAGTACCTAGGCATCCTGGAGCAGAATGAAAATTCCTCTACCTTTATCCTGCTATTTCACAAATAAACCTTTATCCATAATAGCAGCAATGTTATTTTAAGAGCCCAATTTAAAGAAAAGCAAAACTGAAATCTGAAAGAACTTAAGGCACATTTCCAACGTAAGCCCATAACACAAAATGCAACAATGTGAAGAAAAATAGTGCTTGGCAAGGTGAGAAGGGAAAAAAAAGAAAAAAAAAAAAAAAAAAGTGGCTTCCCAGCACTTCTTGGTTACATATAGCCTGCAAACTTGTATTTTGGGGGGCAGGATTTAAACACCCTGCCCAATAAGCATGCATCTGCTACAGGAAAAGGAATCCATGGAACTGTACATTTACTTAAAATTTGCCTTATAATTGCTGAAAATCATGGATATATTCACTGCTGAACCATAGAAAAGCATTTAACCTTATAATTTAGCAGACAAAAGTAAACCCTTTATGATTAGCAAAATGGTATTCCAGCAAAGATCAGGGCTGCTCCACCAAACATTGACAAGATCAGAATACAGATCCAGCATAATTTGAGTTGAGGATTCATCCCAATTTCTGAGAAACACTGGATATGATGCTCCATATATATATTTTTTCTTTAGATAACCAAAGTGATAATTGGTAAACAGCCTACACCAGATAGACCTGTGTGTGTTTTTAGGCAGTAACCCTTTAAACATTTTTGCACGCTGATATACAAGAACATGCTTGCCAATACTGTTCCTTTAACAATAAATCATAAAGCTGGCAGTAAACAAACAGGTTAGGTCTGTATTATCTAGGTTTATGAAAGAATACCCTGGCTATGCAACTGCATAAAGAAAACCTGAACATTCTAAGCAAACCAATTATATATGGCACTTGTCAGCCATTTTTTTTTTTTTTAGCATGGGTTACCTTTTGCTGTGCTACTCTGCTAAGCCAACAAAAACCACCACATTATATACTTAAAATATAGAAAGGAAAAATAAATAAATCACAGGAATGAAATGTCCAATATCTGAAGCAGGAAAAAAAAAACCCCACACACTACTTTAAACAGGTCTGTGTATGCCAAAATTGCAAATGCAACTTAGTTTTTTTTTTTTAAATATATAAATATTGCCTTAAGCAAGAGTAACTATGTGTACTAATCCATGAAACCGGCAGCCAGTGTCACCCACACAACTCAACACTTTACTGGCACAGGGCATGTCCTGAAGTGCTGTGACACTTTTTTGTAGAAAAACCACCAAAATATTGTGTCCAAACACCATGTTTATTAAATCATTTGCAGGGTGTTTTTTTTTTTTTTTTTTTTTTTTTTAAAAAGGAGAAGGCTACAACTAAAATATTTACTGCCCAACCTCTGGTGGAATAATTATATTATACTTTCATGCACAGTACACTAGATGTTAATATCACCTTACCTCATATCACCTCGACGATCATCATAGCCACCACGGCCTCTGCCACCCCCAAAGTTCTGGGATCCGCCATAGCCTCTATCACCATACCTGCCTGTGTCCTTTCGATTGTCATCTATAGGAGGCAAGAGTGATATGAAGCAATACCAATTAAAGCTCTCTCAGTAATTTAAGTGATTATAAAGTGGAATGCCAGTTAAATACTAAGCCTAAACCTACACCCATCCCCCATTCTAAGCCTATTCTATCTACCCTGTAAAAGGAAAAAGATATGTATACAGATTGGGTCTCGGCACCCCCCTCCTTCAGTGTAGTGAGATAGCTGGCAACATATGCCCTACAGTGCCCTATGGGTGACATCACCCAGGCTCTGCAGCTGTTGTCTGATCTCACCTCTTCATTGAAGCTGGCTGCTGGAGAGATCATGTGACCAGACCAATAGTCCTCAACAATAAGTACAGACTTCTTTCCATTACAAGCTAGAAAAAGCTCAAAGTGGGTGAGAGTAAGTTTAGGCCTATTTAGTATTAGTCTATACTTCCTCTTTAAGCCCTCAGTTTTAATGCACTTCCAGCAGCTGTTTAATCACTTACCGAGTATGCAGCTTCTTTATCTTTTGTTGCCCATGACCCACTTTAAGCTAATGCCATGACCACTGCCCCAGGTTTCCTATTACAGGGTGGCTACTTTCTTATGCAGCATCCTACGGAGCCCACTTGTATACAGGGACTAGAGCTGTGTCTCCATACACTATATGCATCAATAAAAACACATCTCTGAAAACCAGATGGCAGGTACTCACCCCACCCTTCCCTAGTCCAAGCTACCAGACTGGATGGAGACTGCACTGTCCGCTAGCAACTCTTTTCCGTAAGGACAGGAAGATGGGGGAAGCAGCACTGGGATAAAGAGCGCCAACAACATTGAAAAAAAATACTAAACTGCAAGTGCTGGGGTATTTTTCTTTTTAACTCTACTGGGATATATTTATTTTATAGTACTTAATGTGTTAAGCCAAAATGCTGAGGGTTTACAAGAGAAGTAGGAGAAATGTTTTGATAAAAAAAAAAAAAAAAAAAAAAAAAAAAAAAAATCATATTTACCTAGGTGGATGCAGCATCAGTTCAGGTGAGTCACTACTGCCAGCTGAAAACGATTCACAAGGGTGCAGAACGAACTGCACTCCTGTGATCCATAGGAAAAAGTACAGCCAAAAGAGCTTTGTCTGTACTTCTCCTTTAATACCACATTAATACATTATAACGTATCCCTATATTTGAAGTATTAAGAAGACTGGGTGAGTGGTTAAGTGCCTTTTATAAGAGTGCACCTTTTATTTTCCATTTTTTCAACATTATATAGAGCATATTTGAGATCAAACATTTACAGTATAAAATATTGTCTTATATACAGCCATAAGGAAGAGAGGATGGCAGAGTCTGTCCACTTCAAAAGAGAATTCAGGTTTAACTGTTTATAAGATGGAGAATCTTTTAATACTTTTTTTGTGATGTCAGATCGGAATACAGAAGAAAAAAAAATGCCAGGTCATCCAGGAACAATCCTAAAAAAAAAAACAAAAAAAAAAAAAAAAAAAAAAAAAAAAAAAAAACAAAAAAAAAAAAAAACACACCACCATCTCCAGTCACAATATTGGGCACTATACACAGCCTCATGTTTTGAGGTATCTTTATTCTAACTACTCTTGCTACTGTGTGCTTAGCGTGTGCTATGAGATAACCAGAAATGATCCTGCATTCCAAGGGGACTGCTTGGTCCCCCTTGTAGATCTTGCTCAGGACATAGTATGATCCCAATTTGGTACTACCGATGAAGTGAATTTTGAAGTCTAGGAAGCACATTGAGCTTTAAATTGCTTATCCCAAATCATCAAAAGGAATTGTTAAATTATGTTGGGTGTTTCCCTTGATGTATTACGGATTTGCCTTTCATGGAAGGTAAAGAATTAGGCTTATATAGTATTGTTACTTTGTTCTATTTTTTTTTTTTTTTTTTTTAAATCACGCAGTTTTTAATAAAAGAATTGTAACAATATAAGTAAATGTGGTTTTAAGGAATATTTGTTACTTTGTATTGCCTTAAAAAGCACCACACCTTAGTCCAATAGTGTTGCTTGCTAGATCTTGTTTAGAGTGCAGAAAGGCCATCCAAACATCCTAAAAGGGAACTCTGATATCAAGAGATCAGTGGGCTGGGATAAGTTCAGCCATGTGGACATTTTTGAAAAAAGGATTTGTCCAAGGGACTAAATCGGTGTCCCAATCTACTTGTCAAAGAAAAAAAAAAAAAATTTATTTTTTTCTGAACCAAAACCGTATTTAAAAAAATCGGAGGGGATATTAGTAATGTTGCAACAACAAAAAGGGTTTTGTGGCGACTTAAACGTTTAATAAATTTTAACATTGCACAGTTTATCTCCTCCTCCCCTGCCTCTCACCAGCACCGCACTCGGGGACTGGCAGAAAGACACCAAGCAGTGTAATGGGCACTGATTGGGTGCTTTTCAGGAAAGGGGAGTGTCGGCTTTATCCCTTTCGCTGCCAGAGCCGTTTTAGCGTTTCTTGCACAAGATTAAAAAATCATTTTAGGCCTGAAGATTACACAAAAAACATAATATATATTTTCTGTAATCAGAGACCCTAGAGAACAAAATAGTGATAGTTCCAATTTTTTTATGTCGCATGATATTACCACAATATTTCATTAAAAAAAAAAGCAATAAAATTACTCAAATGTTTTTAAAAATATAAAAGATGAGATTGCAGCGAGTAGACAGATATCCAACTTATCAAACCTTAAATTTGCGTGCATGTCAACAAACTTCAGTACCCTATATTTCTATAAGTGACGCTTTTAAAGCCCCTTCTAGGTCATCAGTATAGCGTTACTGAGGAGGTCTAATGGCACATCGCACTGCATTACATTCTTTCCCAGCCGCAATTGCCGGGAATCTCTCAACAGGGACCTGGAAGTGACATCATAACGTCACTTCCAGGTCAGGACAAGAAAGGGAGGGGAGGAGAGAGGACGCATCCTCTTGCCTCCCTCCCCTCTAGCTACCAGCGGTGAGCCGGTCCTGCAAATGGCCAATGCCAATTGAACACTCACACAAATTTGGTGCATTCAGTATTAACTGATCTAAGGTATGGGAGTGGGAACTGTATGGGCAAAGTCAAGAACAGGTAAAGAAATTTTGGCAAAAGACATTTTAATATTACGCATACTTAAACTTAAAGCTATGCAACAATGCATAAACTTACAGTTTTATGAAGCAAGAGTCATTAGGATTGGCTAAATAAAGAGTAACTGTCAACCCAAGCAGAGTTTAAGAAAAAATATTTCAGTTCCCCCAAAACTAACAAATTTGCTGCCTGTGATGATTGCAGTGTTCCATAAATTAGGTTGCTGCCAACAAGGGGTCAAGTCATAAAGAAATACATTTTCTGCTGTGTAATAGGGCAAGATAAATGGACCAGGTTGCCCATGTGATATAGAAAGCGAAAATTTTCTGGTGTCCAAATGCTTCACTGAGCAAACCTGGTGCATTATCTTAGTATGACAACAGGAAATACTTGTATACTGTCAACACCTGGATTTATGGGACATCTTTTGTAAAATGCATAACCTTAGTAAACATTTGTCACATATACTAGGCAAAAAACATCTAAACCGATTTATAAAATCACCTTGCGAGGAAGCTCCATAGCTCTCATTCCGTGAAGAAAATGGCTGCTGCTGTCCAAAGCCTGAAGGTTCATAAGACCCTTGATGCGGTTGTTGCCCATAAGCCGATCGTTGCTTTTGTCCAAAATCTTGCTGGTCATAGGAGTCATGAGGCTGCTGATACGATTGTCCATCATTGTTATCTGGCTGGTTGTCACCGTATGGGATTTTGCTGCTGAACCTGGAAATTTTTCAAAAAGTAATCATCCAAAGAGTTGGATGCTCTGGATATTTACTGCACAAGCATTAAAACAAAAAAAAGGACAAGTTCACCTATGGAAACATGTTACATGGTGTTCAGGAGAGAGGATTGGGGCAGAGAAACATATAGTGCACATAAATTCTAAGCATGTTTATGCATTCTAATGGACAGAATTGGTATTCTAAACAAAAAATAAAAAAGATCACCAGCGTCAAAAAAAATATTGTGAAATAATTCCAAAAAGGTCTGTGAAAACGCCCTGGAGGAGGGCGAAACGCGTTTACACACTTCCAGCTTCACTGTTCAACATACGTTACTTCCGGTGAGTGGAGCACACGCCGGTGTGCGGCGCTCTCAGGGGCCATCTTGCTAGAGGGAGGAATCAACCATGTTTATACATGCTCTCATCTATCGCTGACTGTGAGATCTTCACCCTGGCTATATGGAGATTTGGCTCCAGATATAATAAATGCTGATTACATTCTTTTAAGATGCGAGTGGTTTGGTATTTGAATTCATCCTGTTTGAGTCACAGTATTACACTATATATATTTTTTTCTCTGCACAAATTATTTTCCTATGGCGAGTGATCTTTGGTGGCCCTGGAGGTTGAAGGCTGATTCAAAATGACAGTTTTTAGTTCTGAGGCATTTGTCTTGCCTACATTTGGGGGATGTCTATCTATACCTGGAGATTGGAGGCTGATTCGATGGGATCTAGGATTCCTGAGTCCAAATTTAAGGCGTGTTTTTTTTTCCACCAATATCTGGTGAGTGCGGCGTATGATTAGAACACAAACAGGTGTTAATACTGGTCAAGGGTCTTGGAACAAGGACTTTATTCTATTTACCATATTCTATTTTTTTGGAGTGGGACTACTTCAACATAAGATTTTTTTGAGTTGCGCATATATATTTATTTTGCGCTTTTTTTTTTTTTAGAATTAGTATTCTGGCCAAGAGAATGTATCAACACACAATATGTGCCCTTTACAGCGTTTAAACAGCTTTTCTCCTGCCAGGAAAAAAGTTGTTCAGGAGGAGCTGAGCAAATGCTCAGTCTGTATAAGGCCTTAACCTGAACACTGCAAAGTGTGGAAATCCAGGAATATCTTTTTCAAGCTTGGCTCAATACAAGTATCCATAATAGATATCACAAGGGCTGCTAACTATGCGGAAAGTTACTGCAGTAGTCCACACTCAGTACAGCGAAAGCCATGATCCTCCACGTGCTACTGCAGCAGCTTCCCTACTGCACAATGTGCAAAGGGTTTGGGGCGCTCACGTGACACCACTGCAAACACAGAAGATCATGGCTATTACTGTATGTAGCAGTGATGATTACAGTGATTTTCAGCATCACCAGTAGCCCCCCCAGAGACAATTCAAGTCCAAAACACACACACACACACACACACACACACGGAGCCCTTTGAAGGCTCCATTCAAATATAGGCAATTTTCACACATGCATTGTTAAAATGTGCAATTGTGCATCAGCGTGTTCAGGTGCCGTTCATTTCAATGGCATCTAAATATGTGGGTAGATTCTGCCACAATTGTCACATGACAATCGCAGCAGAATCATCCTGTTTTTAGGTGCCATTGAAATGAAAGGCAACTGAACACGCTGATGTGCAATTTGACATTTTAACAGCGAGTTTTAAAATCACAGGCAATTCCAATGCCTATATGTGAACGGTGCCATAGAGTCGATTTAAAAAAAAAAAAAAAAAAAAAACAATTAAAATTAAAAGATTATTCTCATACCCTCCTCTGGAGGACTCTGAACTCTGCTGAGAATAGCTTCCATAGGATGGCTGGCTTTCATATGGTGCTTGGCTCTGTCCTTGTGAAGACTGTCCTTGTGAAGACTGTCCATAACCTAAGAAATTTCAAAATATTAAACTTTTAAACTAAGCACTTTTGCGCCGCCCTATAGCAGAAATACAGCTACAGGGTGGCACAGGTGCACAAAAAAAAAAAAAAAAAAAAATTTATCACATACACATACAGCATGTGCGCGCCCTACCCGCGCCGCCATTCACGTCCTCGGCTGTCAATAACCGGGTGTCGGCCGGAGATTTCGTGCTGGCACCCAGTGATCTCCGAGTATCTCCAACAGGGGAGAGACCTGTGCATAAAACACAGATCTCTCCCCTGTCAACTCCTGCACACTGCTTTGCATGGCACTGCACAGCTGCGCCATACAAAGCAGTGTGCTTACAGTGAAACACAGCCTCATAGTAAAACAGCACACAGTTAACCCTTTGATCGCTTGACGCTAACCCTTTCCTGCCCAGTATCATTAGTACAGTGTCAGTGCTTTTTATTAGCACGGATCACTGTATTGGTGTCATTGACATCCCCAGTGACACCAAGCCAGTTCCCCCCAGTGTCAGAATGTCCCCCGCAGTCTCACTATAAGTCTCTGATCACCGCCATTACAAAAAAAATAAAACAAAATTGCAGTATAGTTAATATATATTTGGGCACAGGCACAATGTTCATACTTTTGGCAATGTATGCCACAAGAATAAATTAAAACGAAACAATCCAAAGGTGCCTGTTATAAATCAACTTGGGGTTGACTGGTTAGTGCAATTTTACCAACAAGCATAAATTTCACACACTGTATATTTCTGAAATACGATGCCACAAAAGACATACCGCCTGATTGACTTTGTCCATAGCCAGAACTGTAGCTTCCATAGTTTTGTCCATAAGCAGATGACTCGGCTGTCTGCCCATAGCCAGAATAATCCTGAGGGGGGTAGGGGAAAAGGAAAAAAGGTTTAAGACAGAAGTGTGTCCACCCAGAAGTGATAACTCTTGCAAAACATCAGCAAGCAGAAGTTCCCAACTGTGTCTTATGCGACATAGCTGCGAGAGTTCTACTAACCAGCTAGGGACACACAAAAGGGGTCTTAACGACTCCCCCTGCTGGATTTTATTTTACGCTAGAAATAATGCAGCAAGAGAAAAGAACTGAGGTTGAATACTAGCCCCTACCAAATACTACCACCATATTGAAAGGCTTGAGTTCACACTTGAGCAGCTTTTGAAAAGCATTCTGCAGTGCACTGCTTTTCAGAGGATGGCCAAGTAGCCACTGTCAAGCAGTCAAGAGACAATCCTGCTCTCTCCAGAATGCCATTTTACAAATGGCTATATTTAATGGGACCAACATGCCACAACTGTGAGCCAAGCACTTGGCTCATGGTTGAAGAGTGGCCCCTTTGACTTGAGTGACCACATCTGACAGGTATTGCCAGCTGTCAACTCGACAAGCCATATTAAATGTGCTGCAACTGTAATGCAAAGGACATGTACACAGCACCCTCAGTTGTATGGTAGCTTTTTAGGTAGGCAGTCCATATAATTCAACACTATATGAATACGATGATACATGTGGGGAAAAAAAAGAAAAAAAAAAAAAACAAAAACACACACACAAGACAAAAAGGTTGGTGGTGGAGTTGTGAATGCACCAACAAAATGCACATCAATTTCAATCCAGCAAACCCTGCATTTCTATGGAAGGCCCCCTTGCCATAAAGGTCATCTTGCTTGGCTCTGAGTTTTCTTGCAATGATTTTACATGTGCTCTTGATAAAAGCATAGACTGACTAACCACAACAAAATGTAATACTAGTTTTATATTAAACACGATTACAATTTCACCTCTATACTTAGAAATATATTTAAACTACATCAGTCACAGAAAATGATGCAACTGGAGGTAGATATGCTTGTATTTTACAACTAAGCATTATTTCATGAAAGAAATTTACATAGACTGGCTTATCAGTTCCCTGGAGCTTACATAAAATTAATTGCGTTAGTGTAAGTAAAATATTTTTTGGAGAATGCGCAGAAGTGTTCGACTCAAGTTTGTATTGTTAGTGTCCCTGTTGGGGAGAATCACTTCTCTGTTTTGGTAACAATGATCAGCTGACAACTGAGGGAAATTTAAAAATTCTGAGTTATCACCAAAGAGGAGGGGGTGAATCCTCCAACAGGAACATCTGTTTCTGAGACAACTCTTTGGGAGATCATTACCCTCACTTTGGAGAACCAAAAATACAGAAATATCTCCTACCTGTGCAGGCTGCCCAGTGTTTTGTCCTCCTTGATTTCCATAACCAGAATAACTAAAAAATTCAGAATAAACACATTTATGAACATTACTGCTGTAATAGGAAACCTGAGCCAAGAAAAATACTGTGGTTTTCAATAGACCTTTTTTTAAAATGCTAGTTGCCTTGTTGTGGTGATACGAAGAATATTTTTTCTCGTTTTAATTGTTGACCTTTAAAGATGAACACCAGGCAAAAAAGTTCCCTTGCAGTGGGCCTGTGTTTACACTGCAAAAATTAATGGTTCATTGTTATCTAGGGGAGTGATGAAGGGAAGTATACTTACCTGCACAAGTCCAGTCCCCGCACCCTAGCAGTTTTGAGTCCTGATGTCACCAAGCCGACAGCAGGTTCCATACACCTTCTCTGGAGGTGAGGATGCCAAGAGCATACTAGAATTGTGGGGAAGTACCGTTTACCAAATGAGCTGAGGATCAGTAGAGTATAAGGTTCTCTTTTCTCCCCTGGACAAAACAATTAATCCGCAGCCCCACTGCGAGGGAAGACCATTTTTTGGCCAGAATTGGGCTTTAAGAAGGGTTTACTAAATTAGAACTGAGGTCAAGTTCTGCTCATTTTGGATAGAGTAAAAAAAGGGGCTAAAACATTTACCAGGATTTTATTTGCAATGTGTAACACTGAGGAAATTTGGGGGGAGCAATCAGCCAAAAAATTAAGGAAAGCCCTGGCAGCCACCAGAACAAGCGTGGGATTTTGGATTTTCTTTCACTTTTGGTGATAAGGGTCAAGATGGTAAATCTTCCTAACCAGGAGACTGACTGCAATTAAAAACCTGACAGGTGTTCCAATCCCTGTCCACTTAAAAAAAAAAAAAAAAAAAAAAAAAAAAAACACAGTTTGCATTCAACTACATCTAAAACTGCTTTAACCACTTGCCCTTCAAAGGATATACCTCCCTTCCTGACCAGGCCATTTTTTGCAATACAGCGCTGTTATTTTAATTAACTGCACGTTCATGTAACGTTGTACATAAAATGAAATTTATGTCCTCCCCCCCCCCCCCCCCCACAAATAGAGCTTTCTTTTGGTGGTATTTGATCACCTGTGCGGGTTCTCTGTTTTTTTGTGCTATAAAAACTGACAATTTTGGAAAAAAAAAGATATATATATATATATATATATATTCCCAATTAAAAAAAGATAACATTGTCATAAATTTAGGCCAAAATGTATTCTGCTACATGTCTGCTTAAAAAAAAAAAAAAAAAAAAATCCGAATCCATGTAAATTACTTGGATTACATGAACGTTATAGTGTCTACAAACGGAGATACACGCACTGGAATTTTTTGGTTTTTTTTTTTTTTTTTTTTCACTAGTAATGGTGGCAATCAGCGACTTATTGCGGGACTGCGGCAGGCATTCTAACACTGGGGGGGGACTGCCACTGACATCCCCAATAATACCAATACAGTGATCAGTGCAAATAAAAAGCACTGGCAGTACTAATGACACTGGGCAGGAAGGTGTTAACATCTGGGGCAATCAAAGGGTTAACTGTGAGCTGTGCCTTTTAAATAGTGTGCTGTGTGTGCTTTACTGTTTACACAAGTTGCTTTGTATTGCTGTACTGTGCAGAGCAATACAAAGCAGCCTGTTCATGTTGACAGGGGAGAGATCTCTATTGTTTACATACAGACCTCTTCCCTGTCAGCTCCACCAACGATCACCGAGTCCCGGCTGAGAATTGACATGCCAAGGAGCCAATAGCGGCACGGGTGGGAAGATTGTGCACGCCCGTCGCCCTGTAGCAGTACTTTTGATTCTTCTAAACTGATACTTCTGAACTTCTAAGAACAGTAAAAAATTGCTCTTTAAAGTTGTTTATACTTCCCAAATAACCTTGCCTGGGTTTAGAAAAGCCAAGAGTGAATGAAGCCTAACTTCAGTCTAAAAACACCCAACTTGGGGAATAAATGCCTGGGAGGTAGTCCATTCCTCCATAAAGGGGACACACCAGAAGTACAGCACAATGACAGCTGAAAGCCCCTTGTGTGAGAAACAAGCGGTTCACTGCCCTGTTCACCTTACTTTAAAAACTGTAGTAAAAAATGGAATGGAGCAGTTGCTGCAATTTATTTTGATTGCTGAAGCTGGTGCAGATCACATGAGGTCTCCAGCTGCAATACTATTCTTAATGCCAACTGTGTAGAATTGATACAAAATTAAATTTGTAAACTCTGAACAAAAAACAACCATTCCCTTACAGAATTTTAATAATGGCTTTTTTTTTTTTTTTTTTTTTTTTTTTTTTTTTAAATATAGCATTGCTAAATACCTTTTTATTGCTGTGTTTGTAAGCAGTCACCTGATTTTTATTATTCTCCTACCAAAGCACAGGGACTGATTGGGGAAGGTATTAAAGAAAGAAGAGGGGAGGAGCAGTTGCAGGGGAATCCTTAGTAAATCAAGACAGGAGGGGTGGAAAAGGAAGCGGCTTAATACAGACTACTGAACTAAGAAGTACAGACAGGCTGTGTTCTTACAGTGTGTACACAGAATGGGATTACGAAATACAAACTGACCACACTGTCATGATCAGCAGCCATGATCATTTTACTAACAGGAACAGAGGCACAGGCCGGATCAACCAGTTATACTAAATTGAAAGCAGTATAAAAGATTGCTGTACTACAATCCACATTATATTTGCTTTAAAGAAGCAGGAGCACCATTTTTTTTTAAGGTTTACAAACACTTTAAACTTGTTGCAATATTTTTTTTTGTTGTTGCAGTTTTTTTTTGCAATAATGTGCTGTGATGATCATACTGAGAAATGGTTTTAACCGATACTTACAATAAGAGGGCACAAACCATTCTCCAGTCACTGGGGTTCATTTTTCTTTCGTGCCAGAACATATTGCACTCATACATTACCAATGAGTAGGTGAAGACTCTAAAAACATACCCTTGTTGATGTTGTCCTCCATAGCCTCCATAACTGCCAGGATCTAAAAATGTAATTTTAAACAGTACATTAGAAAATGTAAGCGATCATTTTCAGGAATATATATTCGGCAACCTGGGATTCATACATATTTGCAAGTTTAGGAACAGGGAGTTCCAGAGTACTAGTACCTGCACTGCATTAAAAATGGGATCCTTGATTCCATTGTGTATTCAATTTTTAAATGTTCATGTCTGATATTTTGCAATCAAAAACACACACACACACACACACACACACACACACACACACACACATATACACATACACACACACACACATTTTAAAGTGACTAAACTCTGGTATGTGTGTTCTTAACACAGAAAACTACCTTCTATTGCTCAGTCTCATACAGAACTCAAAATTCCTTTGTTTGCCGCTGTCCTCAGATTTCCCTTTAGAGGGTGGCTGCATTCGTTCCCCACTGGATGTAGGAACATAGCTACCCTCTCTTGCTCATGCCAAAAATGGAAAATAGGATGTGTTGTGAACATAGCAGTGAACATGGGAGGGGGTCTGGGAGCTCATGGGGTACATTAATGAAAAAGATGAAAAATGGCTTACAGGGCCATTAAGTAGTACGTCTGTACATTTAAACTGACTATACATGAATCGAAATTTGGCTGGTTCAGACGTATTTCAATCCATGCATAGGCAGGCTGGTTGTACTGAGGTCAATCTACCGGTCAATATCTGTACAGTCATCCTGCTGCAATAATTTTTTTCTGACAGCAGGAAAGTCTCCCCACTGTCAGAATACAAAGGCTCAGCAGGAGGTTTCCCCCATCCAACTGAAATGTGTGGATGGACGAATAGAGTCTTTAGACGAAACAAAATATGCACATAGATGGCTGGCATACAACACAGTATAAGCTTGCTACTTAAAAGACCCCAAAGTTTCAAGTTCATTCCGGATATGTTCCTACTGTACCATCAACTTGTGTTAAAAAGTATCCTGTTTTCTTTGTATTGCTTCCTTTGTGTGAAATCCCTGGTGATCCTATCAGTCCTTCTGCTTTGCTATTCAAAATTGACCACACAAGATTGGAGAGCACAGTGGTGTCAGTTCTCTAGTTGTGCTGAGAACAGAGCCTGCTCTTCTCCAATGAAGAAACTTGTGCTCACCCCCCCCCCCCCCCCCCATTCAAACATACACCCTTTCACTGGGAAGATCAGTGTGCTACCATTTTTCCTTCCCTACGTCTCTTATGCAGCAGAAAACAGAGGGTATGTGATAACTTCTACAAAAGGGGGAACACATTTGTTTTTTATATTTACACACAAATATTTTGCCTTTCACTTCTATTTTAAACTGAATAGGTTGTTTTACAAGGTGAGGGTTCACATATACTGTAAACCAGATATTTAGAGACATTACCTGCTTCACACACACTTTCAAAAAAAAAGAAAAAAGTGAACATTTCTCATACTAGTAGCAGAGGTTTCTCTCACACTAACGTTTCTTGGGACTATTCAATATCAGAAGAATGGTCAGTTACCGGATAAGAGATGCAAGAGATGGGTATTAGATTGCGTTTGGTCCATAATCTTGTTGAGTACATGACTTTGGAAGTGAACCTACAGACAGACTAGGAATTTGTTGTGAGCCAAACAGTCCTAGTAAAGAAAGGCTGAAAAAAAGACTAAGGGCTGATTCACATCAGCAGTCTCACAGATCACACAGCTGCTATTGTGCTCCGGGAAAACAAGGTGCTGAAAAGCTAACCCCACTTTTTTTTTTAAAGAACTTTGACAATGTAATTCATGAACCACCTCAATACCGGGCACTTTCACTCCTTCCTGCCCAGGCCAATTTTCAGCTTTCAGCACTCTCACACATTGAATGATAATTGTGAGGTCATGCAAAAACTGTACCCATATGAAATATTTGTCTGAGAGAATTTGTTTTGGTGGTATCACCACTTGGTTTTTCTAAAAGAAGAAAAAAAAATGTTTCTTAGCTTATGTTTTAAAATTTTGAAGTGAAAATTAAAGTAATATTTCTTCTTCACTGGTGAGGCTGCACTGATAATCAGGATACTGATGATCAGTGCCCTGATTATCAGTGTAAATGTGCCCTGTCAGCCTTGTATCGCCAATAACTGGCAAGTTTGTTTACATGGGATCAGCTGTGATAGGACACAGCTGATCACATGGTAAAGGGCTGCTGTGATCGGCCCTGTACGTCGATCTGATCAGCTGTGTCCAGAGAAGAATGCCCCTCAATTCATGTACCTGGTGTCCTGCCAAAATAAAATGGACTGCTACGGGTTTGCACAAATCAATAGGTTCACCCAGGATACTCTTGACTAGAGCTGTTCTAATATCACTCATGTTTCTGAAACCTACACTTAAAAGGGACCTTTTGTTTTGCCCACAAACTAATGAGCAGGGGCATTTAAGAATATAAAACGCGTAATCAGTGTTACAGTTCGGGTAACCCTGTATCTGGTAACGTTTCCTACTGTGGGGAAGTGTGAAATATTCCCCACAGATCAATGAGTTGCATACCTTACAATTGTAACAACTCTGTCTTTTTGACAACTTGAACACTGCCTTAGCGTATTTGGTCCTAGGGTCTGCTTGAACTAATAAGTCACGTAGGGATCTACCTCTCTTATGTACCATTAATGGTGGATTCTTTAAGTCAGGTGATAGAGTGTCATCAGCTCTAAAGGATGTTCATGTTACTCATGACTATTTAACACGCTCAGATTCCTGATTGAAGTCGTGTATAAATAGTGGCCTGTTGGCAGCCCTAGGGCTTCCTTCAAAATCTGTTGTAGTTCTGGATAATGCCTGGTCAAGTACTCGAGTAGGATAACCTCATTCCACAAATTTTATAAACATGGCCTCAAGTTGTTCTGTCCTATCATTCATACAGGAGCAAATGCATAACACCCCCCCTTGAACTGGGAAATAGGCTATCATGGAAATGCTTGGGATGTGCGCTCTGCTAATGTAGTAGGGTGTTCCTGTCGGTTTTGAGAACACAGAGGCCTGGAGTGTACCCTGGTTATTAGTGATCCTCAATGCTGTCTGGGAATATTTCAGGTTTGAAAATGATACTGGGAAAGAAGCCGTTAAGATGATTGACAAACTCTTAAAAAAAAATAATGTTTCTCATTCCCAAATAAGGAAGATATCATCAATACATCTTCGCCAGCATTTGACATGATCAATGAACAAAGGCATGGGATAAATGTTGTGCTCCTCCATATACCCAGCAAACAAAATCACATGTCTGATGAAGGGGTCCTGCGGGACGCCAAAACGTTGCCTTGCTGTAACTATGTGATCACTCATTAAAACCTTTGGACCCATATTGGTGATCCTCTGTGTGCTGGTGATATTCTCCTCACCTGTGCCCAATGACAGCAGATCACGGAGTAAATACAGTTGCTGGTTATCATCAGCACTTTCCTCACACTGTCACAGAGGAGATCAGCACTGATGATTAGTGCCCTGCAGTGTTGCCCGTCCATGCCACCTCATCAGTGATGCCTATCCACGCCACCTCATCAACGTACATCAGTGAAGGAGAAAAATTACCCATTTGCTAAATTTTATAATAGAAAGAAAAACATTTTTTTCTTCAAATCTTTTGCTCTTTTATAGTACAAAAAAAAAAAAAAAAAAAAAAAAAAAAAACCACCCAGTGACGATTAAATACCACCAAAAGAAAGCTGGGTGTGACAAAGGATAAAAATATCATATGGGTACAATGTTGGATGACCGCACAATTGTTATTCAAAAGTGCAACAGCACTGAAAACTGGCCTGGGCACAAAGGGGGTATAAGTGCCTTGTGGTAGGCAAGTCTTTAAAGCATATGCTACCCTACATTTCTGATATGTACCTGCTGTACCATGTACTTGTATGAATAAGTATCCTATTCATTCTGCGTTGCTTCTTTTGTGTGAAATACCTGGAGTTCCTGCCAGTCCCCCCTAATGACAAAAATATATTGCCATATACCAAATTAAACTCCATTATATAAATAAAATCACAAACTTAAATACCAACGAATAAGTGTTAAAACGGTGTTCCAGCTGAAAAAAAAAAAGTCAGCAGCTACAAAGACTGTAGCTGCTGACTTTTAAAAATACAGACACTTATCTGTCCCTCGGTCTAGTGGTGTCCTCACCACCGCTGGTTTCTCTCCCTGGTGCTGACATCTTTAGTGTGGGTACCTGGCTGTGCCAGCTTGCGGCTTCACAGTCGGGTGCGCATGCGCGAGAAGCGCTGCGCTTTTTGAATGGCCCCGTAGTCTTCTGGGACCTGTCACGTGCCCCAGAAGACTACAGGGAGGACAAGTTCCACTTTCGATTGCCTAGGCGATCGCAGCAAAGTGGGAGCAGGTACCTGTCAAATTAGTGTACCCGCTCCCCAAAGGTGCCAATCCTTAACCACTTCCATACCGGGCACTTTTACCCCCTTCCTGCCCAGGCCATTTTTCAGGTTTCAGCGCTCTCACACTTTGAAAGACAATTGTGCGGTCATGCAACACTGTACCCAAACTAAACCTTTATCATTTTCTTCACACAACTAGAGCTTTCTTTTGGTGGTATTTAATCAACACTGGGGGTTTTATTTTTTGCCAAATTAACAAAAAAAGTTGTTTTTCTGTTATAAAACATGTTTTTCAGGTTATAAAAGTTTGCAAATAATTGTTCTTCATAAATTTAGGCCAAGATGTATTCTGCTACGTGTCTTTGGTGAAAATAACCCAAATTAGGATGTATTTTTTAGTTTGTAGGAAAGTTAGAGTTCACAAACTGTGGGATATATCTGAATATTGATCAATCCTGAAGTACTGACAGCCAATCTAATTTCTTGAGGTGCAAGAATGTCAGGACAGTACAGATATCCTCCAAATGACTCCTTTTTACAAAGTAGACAGTCCGACGTACTTCATAAGAGGAATGGCGAGTTTTTTTAAGTTTATTTTGTCATAATTTTTCAGAAAATGAAAAAAGTTAAAAAAATTTTCACTATTTTTTTTTTTTTTTTACATACTGTCACCAGTGCAGTACAGTGTCATCATATAACTGGCATGGCGGTGATCAGGGACACTGACTGGTGATAGTATGAAAAAAATAATTTTTTTTAATTTTATTATTACTTTTTTTTTTTTTTTAAGATTTTTTTTTTCCATATTTCACTATGATCAAAGTAGTACAATGTTACCATAGTAACATTGTATTACTTTGGAGAAGTGATCAGTTTTTTTTTTATACACAATTTGCTTACAAAGAATTACTTTGCTATAAGCAATTCATTCAGGGTTTTTTTTTTTGTGCTTAGCTGTGATTTGGCCACGGCTGATCACATGACACAGCTGGGCTGTGATTGGCCCAGCTTGTGCATGTGATCACTGTGACCATTCACAGCTAGACACACTAGTATACAATGGATGGCATGAATGATTGTATACAACTGTCATGTGACCTGCTGTGATTGGTCACAGCAGGTCACATGGTACCGGCAACAGGGCCGCTACTCAGATCTGTCATCGGCCGTGTCCGAGGTACACGGCCAGTGGCAGATCACACCGCTGCGTGGCTCTGCAGGCATGCAAACTGCGCATGCCCAAAAGGACACCCGGAGAGACAAGGGGTTGTGCAGGCCGCCAGCTGGCTATAGGCTGGTGGGAACCTGTTAATGGGGACTGGGGGACAAAGGCTTAAAGCTGAACTTCCCCTTTTGGGTGGAGCTCCACTTTAAAGTTCTGTAATATATTAGTAATAGTATAAAATACCACTCACTAAACACCAATGTGATATCCACATGAGAAGAGTGTCAACTGCACAAGGCAGCGCTGGCAGGTGTTTATGGCAGGGCTGTGTCCCCAGTGGGCTGTTCCCCCTGACTTCCTGTTTTGTTACCAGGTCAGATAGAAATACCCATAACAGAGACAACAATAAAAACCAACAGCACGTGCTGATCGTACCCCTAAAATTGCAACAAACTGTCACGTTTATTATGTAAACAGAAAAAAAGGGAAGTTTTCCTTCATTATACTCAGCACATGACTGACAAACCCACGGGTGAAGGAAAGCACTGCCCTGTGAAGGGTTCCATGACTTCTTACTGAGGGAAGAAGCAGCCTCCATAGGCACACACGTGTCAGGGACAAGCACACATCTACACACCGCCCACGTGCAGTGCAGCCATCATACAGAAGACGTCTTCCTGCTGCTGTGTGCGGCCTCTGCCTGTCCTGCTGCGTCACTCTCACTCGTCCTGATAGCCAGCTCAGCCGGGTCACACAACCCACACTCCAACACACAAGCAGAGATACAGCCCGAGCTAAAGCCCCCCTACCTGACGACATGATGGCGGCAGCCAAAAGGACACTCAAGAGCCAAAAAGGAACAGCAGCACAGCGTACAGGAAGCTAGCGTCACGTTCTAAACCTCGCGATAGCGTCCGTACGTGCTCACGCAAAGAGCGTCACGTAAGAGCCCCTCGGCTACAAGTGATATCAGAGCGCGCGAATGTTTGTGTCACGTGCCTCCATATGTTTACTGCCTGGGAGGGAGGAACTAGGCTATGATTAGGTCTTGCTCCATCCAAATCCAGGAATGGATAGGACATACTTAGTGGGATGGCTGGCTGATTAGAAGTGCTATGACATGGTCATGCCTGAGTGCTGACAAGGATTATAGGTGGCATGTGTAACCATTTGCTGTGTAGAAGGCGAGAAGTCACAGAATGATGCATCCCCTCATGAGTATATGGTATACAACCTGTGCCTGGCATATAGATGGACCTCTGAGGAACTGAATGCACACTTTTTCTGTTGTTGAAACTTGCCTCACATTGAGCAAGAAGTCACCTATTCCTGATTTGGTATTTCCTGAGACTAGCGCACTGAAATCTATGGTTAGTACAGCGATGAGACGCTCAGGTGCAGTAACACATTTGGATGGTGTAAATGTTTCAAAGATGGCAGTCAGTGACGTTCCCAACCCCACACCTGTGAACATTCAGCACCAGGGGCGGACTGACCATTTGGAACTCATGCACTGCCCAAGGGCCTGGGGTCAGTAGGGGCCCCATGAGATGCCCCTGGTACCTTTTTCATAGGCTTTTTTGAGTTTGGGCAAGGACACAGGGACCCCTATTGCCCGGGGCCCCATGAGTTGTCAGTCCGCCCCTGTTCAGCACATGGAACGCCTGATCCTGGATAATCGATGTCATGTCATGAAATTGCACAAGAGACAGATCTTTCTGTGGGAACAGTGAACACAATGATGACGAAGTATTGCAGGCTGTCCTAAGATGGTTCAGGCATACTGACAAATAATTCTATGCCAAAGCTTTCCTGGCATTACTTCAATGCTGGGATGCATGTGTACATGTAGCAGGGGAGTATGTTGAAAAATACATGTAGTCTCCACTCCTTGAAATTTGTTCTTTTATTATATCAACTCAAAAGTCCCAGTTTGACTTGAACGCCCCTTGTAAATACCAGCAGTACAAGAAATAGAAATAGGTGTGTATGATCTGTGATGATTATCCCTCCAAGTATTTAAATGTCTCTGTATAGATGTACATGTGCATGATGTGTGTGATTATTACACCCCCCCCCCCCCCCCCCAAAGTACCTAAAAAATGTCAGCAGCATTAGACGTAGATACAGGTGTGTATGAGATTATCCCTCCAAGTATTTAACTGTCAGTATAGATGTACATGTGCATGATGTGTGATTATTACCCCCCCCCCCCCCCCCCCCCCAAGTACCTAAAAATGTTAGCAGCACTAGACGTAGATACAGGTGTGTATGATGTGTGATGATTATCCCTCCAAGTATTTAACTGTCAGTATGATGTACATGTGCATGATGTGTGATTATTATTCCCCCCCCCCCCCCCCCCCCCATAGTACCTAAAAAATGTCAGCAGCATTAGACGTAGATACAGGTGTGTATGAGATTATCCCTCCAAGTATTTAACTGTCAGTATAGATGTGCATGATGTATGATTATTCCCCCCCAGTACCTAAAAATGTCAGCAGCATTAGACATAGATACAGGTGTGTATGAGATTATCCCTCCAAGTATTTAACTGTCAGTATAGATGTGCATGATGTATGATTATTCCCCCCCAAAGTACCTAAAAATGTCAGCAGCACCAGACGTAGATACAGGTGTGTATGATGTGTGATGATTATCCCTCCAAGCATTTAAATCTCAGTAGCACATATTCCCCTATTCCTACACCCTATCACTCACCATATCCTTCCCAACACAAATCCTCCCTCCTGCACTAACCTTTAATCACAGCACAAATTATTGTTACCCCTCCCCCACTCCTTTGTGTATAGTTCCCCTGACCTGTAAACCCCCCCTTGAACTTACAGGTGGGAAACCAGGTACTGTAGAGGTGTGGGCTGTGCTCTCACTCCTGTCAGTGGAGTGATCCTCCATGCAGCAGATGACATAGGATTGCTCTTGGATTGAGCTGTACACAGTTTGATTACCCTGCCCCCTATCTCCTCCAATGACTGCTCATCTCTTGGCAGCAGGGAGTCGGGGAATGGATCACACACTGGACATGCCGATGTAAAAGCGATCTTGTGTCATCTGCTTTATGGATGATCGCTCCACTGACAGGAGAGGAGAGCACAGCCCGCACTTCCAGCATCTCTCCTGACATTTCTCCTTTGCAGCCTTCACTGCTCCAGGCTTCTCTCCCCTTGTCCCAGCCATGAGTGCAGGGATGAGGGAAGGCACTCAGCGGCCAGACACAGCATTCATGGAAAGACCGGCCTAGGGAGGGGGTACAACTGAAATCTGACCCCCCTGATCCAGGTATGGTAGAGAGTAGAGAAACTAGCAGCCATAGCTGTGCCCCCTAGGCGGTTGTAGGGTTGTCACTTCATCCATTAAGTACGCAGGTTCTGAGGATAATTGAATGCACTTAAGGCACTAAGTGAGTTTAACCACTTCCAGTCTGGACTTTTACCCCCTTTCAGGCCAATTTTCAGCTTTCATGCTATCACACTTTGAATGACAATTGCACGGTCATGCAACACTACCTATATGAATTTTTTTGAGACCGATAAAGCTTTATTTTGGTGGTATTTATTCACCACTGGGCTTTTTTTTTTTCTGCTATGTAAATTAAAAAGTTTGAAAAAAAGTGTTTTTCTTATACAATTTTGCAAATAAATAGTATTTCATCATAAATCTTGGCCAAAATGTATTCCGTTATATATTTTCAGTAAAAGAAAAAATAAAAAAAATTAGTATATAACCAAAAATTATAATTTGTAAACATTTTTTTTTTTTTTTTTTTTTTTTTTTTACATACTGTCACCCTAGCAGTAGTGTCACCATGGTGACACTGTACTACTTGTGGGGGGGGGGGGGGGGGTGATGAAGATTTTTTTTTTTTACACTGATTGCTTTTACACCTATAAAGGATGTAAAAGCAATCATTTCTCCTTCTCTCTAGCTGCATTCTTGCAGCCATTGAGAACTAATGAGTGAGCTGTGATTGGTCACCGCTTGTCACATGGTACAAGGCTGTTTTGAATAGCCTTGTACCATGTGACCTCTGTGATCATTCACAGATTTCACATGTAGTAAGCAATGATGTCACAAGTGACATCATTACTTACTACTCTGCATGTGATCACTGATTGGCCAATCAGTGATCACATGATCGAGACCTCGTACAGAGGTCCCGTCCGACGATCAATGTTCCACTGTGTCCTCTGACACAGCGGGCACCGGATCGCGGTGCTGCACGCTCCCGGGGAGCACGCACAAGCAGGGTGTGGGGAGGCTGTTTTATAAACGGCCACCTGACCCTGCAATGCCACTGTTCGGCTGTTTATATACAACGGCCAGACGGGAGGTGGTTAATTACCACCTTAATCAGCCACAGAACCTGTGTCATTAACTGCTTTAGCTCCGCCCCATAGCAGAAATACTGCTACAGGGCGGCAGCTGTGCGCAAAATCACATACATATATATATATATATTTATATATGTGATTTTGCATTTCCAAGTAGGGGGCGCGCGGCCACGGCTGGCAATCATCAGGTCTCGGCTGGTGACACTCACCGGATCCCGATGATTGCCAAGGATATCCGACGAGGGGGAGAACTGTTAGTAAACAAAACAGTTATCCTCCCTGTCAGCTCCTGCACACTGCTTTGCATGGCTGTGCACAGCATAGCCATGCATAGCAGTGTGCTTAAAGTGAAACACAAACACAGAAACATGATGTAAAACAGCACACAGTTTACCCTTTGATCGCCCCACATGTTAACCCCTTCATGCCCAGTGCCATTAGTTTTTTTTTAGTATTGCTGATCACTGTATTGGTGTCACTGGGGATGTCAGTGATACCAAGTCAGTTCCCCCCAGTGTCAAAATGCCCGCCGCAGTCCTGCTGTAAGTCGCTGATCGCCGCCATTACTAGAAAAAAAAAAAAAAAAAGCCCAGTATATATACCGTCATTTGTAAACGCTATAGCTTTCACGTAAACCAATTAATTTACATGTATTGGGATTTTTTTTTTAGCAAAGACATGTAGCAGAATACATTTTGGCCTAAATTTATGAAGAAATTAGACTTTTACAATTTTTTACTGGATATGTTTAATAGCAAAAAGTAAAAAAAAAATGTTTTTTTTTCTCAAAATTGTCAGTCTTTTTTTTTTTATAGCGCAAAAAATTAAAAACACACAGGCGATCAAATACCACCGAAAGAAAGCTCTATTCGTGGGAAAAAATGATGTAAATTTCATTTGGTGCAGGGTTGCGTGACAGCGCAATTATCAGTTAATGTAACGCATTAAATGGCCTGGTCAGGAAGGGGGGGGTGAATCCTCAGGAGGGCAAGTGGCTAATATGTGTTCGGTTTTAAAGTGATGAGGTGTCAACCCTAGGCGGTTGCCTAGTGGTAGCACCGGTCCTGCACACTAGCATGCCACAACTGTGTGCATTGCATACAGTTGCTGGTCACTTGCAGAGCAGCCCCATTCACTTGAATGGTTTGTATTCAACAGGGGGTATAAAATCATGGCTGTGCAAAGCATTGTGGCCGCAGCATGTGTACACCCCCAGGTGCTGCCTCTGCAGCGATTGAGGCCAGATTGTCCCCTCCTGGCCATCATTATTTAACCACACCCACTTTTTGCAGCAGTGTGCTACATGCGCCTCAAGTCGCTGTCTTCTTAACGACTTCCTGTCCGGCCCATGTACATAAACGGCCGGACGGGAGCAGTGCATGAGCGGGTTGCCGTTCATAAATGGCACCCACATTTTCTGGACACAGCAGAACACCGATCGCTGTTCCGGACTTCTGTGTGAGGTCCTGATCATGTGATCACTGATTCGCCAATCAGTGATCACATGAATAGTAGTAAGCAAGATGTCACTTCTGACATCATTGCTTACTACTTGTGAAATCTGTGAATGATCACAGAGGTCACATGGTACAAAGCTATTCACAACAGCCTTGAACCATGTGACAAGCTGTGACCAATTACAACTCCCACTGTATTTCTCAATGGCTGCAAGAATGCAGCCAGAGAGAAGGAAAAATTATTGTTTTTACAGCCTTTATGGGTGCAAAAGCAATCAGTGTAAAAAAATAAATAAATCATCACCCCCCACAAGTAGTACAGTGTCACTATGGTGACACTGTACTGCTAGGGTGACAGTATGTTAAAACATAAAAACAAAAACATAAATAATGATATAAAAAAAACACAAAATGTAATTTTTTTTTTTATATTATACTTTTTGGTTATAAACTAACTTGGGTTATTTTTTTTTTTTACTAAAAAGATAACAGAATAAATTGTGGCCAAGATTCATGAAGAAAGATTATTTATTTGCAAACTTTTATAAGAAAAAAACAGTTTTTCAACATTTTTGGACTTTTTCATTTATATAGCAAAATAAAAAATAAAAATAAAAATCCCAGTGGTGAATAAATACCACCAAAATAAAGTTTTATCTGTTTCAAAAAAAATGCTAAAAACATTCATATTGGTACAGTGTTGCATGACCGCGCGATTGTCATTCAAAGTGTGATAGTGCTGAAAACTGGCCTGGACAGGAAGGGGGTGAAAGTGTCCGGACGTGAAGTGGTTAAAGTGTCCCTCATTTTCAACTTCA